CTCTGGATTTCTTGCAGCACTGACTGTGAGATATCGGGATTAAATCTGCACTGTCCAATGTCTCCCAGTCAGGACACGGCCAATGAAAATGGAGACACTTCTACTTCTATCTACAATGTTAGAACAAAGTGCTGTGTGCCGACAAAGATGGCATCTCTCTGTATTCATGTGGCATTGTCCTGACTGCCAGAAATTACAGTGTCATTGTAAACCCAATGTGTCCCAGTCAGTGCTTGCTGACGCCATCATCCATCGCATCGCACGCCGCATTTTTTCACAATTGATGTTGAGCCACACCCACAATTGAATACCCACCCCCAATTAAAATTATACTCCTCCCACACCACCTTTCTGGACATACAGGGACAAAAAGTGTCCCTAAAAATGTTTTGGAAATGTTGACAACTATGCCATCAGTGCCCATCAGTGCAGCCTATCAGTGCCCATCAGTGCAGCCTATCAGTGCCCATCAGTGCCGCCTCATTAGTGCCCATCAGTGCCGCCTCATTAGTGCCCATCAGTGCCGCCTCATTAGAGCGATGGTGCAGTGGTCCTCTTTCAGTGCCCATCTGTGCTGGTTTTCAGTGCCTCCTCAGTGATGCCTGTCAGTGCTGTCAGTGCCACCTATCAGTGCCCATCAGTGCTGCATATCAGTGCCTTCTCATCAGTGCCCATCTGAGTGAGGTTGCGCTGTCAGTGGGCGGGGCAGAGGTCCTCTGGTGGGAGGAGATTGGACATTTGTGTACATCACATTTCTCTTTCACTTTCCCCTTCTATACTTTGCATTGAGCCATCCTGAGCACACTCTCTCTACCCAGCAACGGATGATGAGCTCTGAATTAATTTTCCTATTGGTCAGAGAGCCAAAATCATCCAATCAGCACACAGCTCCGCCCTCCTGTAGACAGAGTCCTGACTCACCGTGTGACTCTCCCCCGCGCTATGTGAGGTGGACGAAGCTGAGTTTTGGGGTCTCTGTGAGGAGGAAGAAGATGATCCCCCTCATCCTGATTATTATCGGGGTGTCCGGGGTGTATGGAGGTGAGTCTGGGGGGAGGGGCTGTTATTTATAATTATGATGTCATATATTTCCTGATATTAGGAGAGACAATGTTATATATTAGTGATGTCACACCTGTACGGATATCTCCTGTGTATATCTCCTGTATGGGGAGTGGTGATGTCACACCTGTACAGATATCTCCTGTATATGGGGAGTGGTGATGTCACACCTGTACGGATATCTCCTGTATATGGGGAGTGGTGATGTCACACCTGTACGGATATCCCCTGTATATGGAGAGTGGTGATGTCACACCTGTACGGATATCCCCTGTATATGGAGAGATGGTGATGTCACACCTGTACGGATATCCCCTGTATATGGGGAGTGGTGATGATGTATGGGGAGTGGTGACACCTGTAGAGATATCTCCTGTATATGGGGAGTGGTGATGTCACACCTGTACGGATATCTCCTGTATATGGAGAGCGGTGATGTCACACCTGTACGGATATCTTCTGTATATGGGGAGCGGTGATGTCACACCTGTACGGATATCTCCTGTATATGGGGAGCGATGATGTCACACCTGTACAGATATCTCCTGTATATGGGGAGTGGTGATGTCACACCTGTACAGATATAAATGTACAGGGGTGTACAGCCCCCCCCCTATGACCAGCTGTATGCTCTACCAGGAAATGCTGCAGTTTTCCTCTAGACATATCACACACGCTCGCTCAGCATTCTACCGCTCAGCCGGAATCCTCACAAAGCCGTATTTTCTGCTTTACAATTTAATATAAAATACCTCGTAGAGCGTTTTTCTCATATTTTTTTGCAATTCACAAAACCCCCCAATACTAAAACACGGCGTGCAGCATTTATCTCAGGACGTGATATCCAGGGGGGTGGATACAGTGGAGAAGGATTAGAACCCCTGTCAGGTTTTATTGCTAATAAAGAGGTAATGTTGTTGGATTGCATGGTGACAATAGTGGATCTGCACAGCATCTGAGCACCCAAACCAAACACAATATTTCATTCATTTTTATTATTCAGAGCAAGCTCCCCCATCCCTCCATGTCTTCATGATTTATTTTGCTGAGAAATCACTTAGAACCCCCCCCCCCCCCCCCAGGCATTTCTGGCTGTGGCCATTTTGATTAAGGGCAAATAATTATGTAGAATATACTTCCTGAAATCCATCTGCTCTTAACTCAGGCATGCATAGGGTGATTTGCTGAGAAAACTCCTCCTCCTCTCCTCCCTTCCTGAAGACTTCTGGGATGTATGACATCATTTGCCTAGGCATGGAAACCAGGAAGTACCGGAAGAAATAAAAAAAAAAAAAAATTTTTACAAGGAGTACATATGATATACCTTCCTATCTATTTACTAATGCTGGCGGCGTAAGGATGAAAAATAATCAATGTTGATTGCAGGGTGGATTTGATTTAAATCACTAGTCAGTAAGGCTTGATGTAAATCCTAGTTTTCTACATAAAGACTAATTCTTGCTGGTATAACTTTAACATGCAAGTAGATGAAGATTTTTAGAATAACAACTTTTCATATTAGTTTTTTTTATCCCCAGTTTAATAGGTTAATCATTCATATTTGGACAACTTTTCTGTTGTACTTCGGAAGGAGAAAAATAATCATTCCCTTAATAATAACAATTTAAATATATTTATTCATCTGAAACAATAACATTCCAGCATATGTGATTTGCTTAAACATCCATGTTTGTTAACTAATTTGGCTAAACAAAATCTATATATTTTAAGAAACTTAGACTGTCAGCCCCTTCCTCCTCCTCACACTTAGTCTCACTTTCTTCTTGTGCAGATCTATTCCACTCCAAACAATCAGAAAAATATTGTTTCTATTCTATTCACTGAACTTCTTGAAACTTAGCACTGAAGGGGCTGATTCTGTATTCATAGGTTTGTAGAAGTTAGGATGAAGGTCTTTTTCTTAACTCTGTTCATATTATAACATTTTTGCTGTGAAGAAGAGGCATGTGATCTCCGCTGAGTCAAATTCAGTTTTGAGAACTGCAAAAGTAAACCAACATCTGTGATAATATCTTGTAGGCAGAGAAACTGCCCAATAATCTTACAAAAACCTCTGGAAGAGCCTGACATTGTGAATGGATTCATGGAATTTATTTACCAAAACAATTAAACATATACAGCCTTATTCTACATAATTAAAAAACTAATCTTTATTTCATGATGGAATAACCTTTGGATGGTAATATATTTTCCTCAAAAAGCATTTTATTTTAAAAAAATCCGATTAAAATAAAAAAAAATCCGATTTAAATCAAAAAAATCTGATTTTTTTAAAAACATCATTGATTTTTATCCACCCTGGTTGATTGAGAGAGTGAAGATCCTCTTTAATACAAGGCTTACCACCATTTGGACTCATGACTTCCTTACAGAATTAACCAAATTTCAGGGTCTCACTCCTGGAGAATTTAGGGGTTCTCCACCTTTTCACAGCCATATTGGGAAATGTCTGAAATCCATTAGGACGGCAATCTGACTTCTTGCTCACAGGATAGGTATACAGGACTCCCCTAATTGCTCTAAATGTGGACTTCCCCCAAGTGACCTTATCCACCTGTTATGCCAATGCCCAAAAATATTTAGATTCGTTTTTAGAAATGCGTCAGAGGGAGGCTCCCTTGTGATGTTATCGTGTAAGAATTGAAATTTTTACGATTCCTTGCTGTTTGAGGATTTTATGATCGCTATATAGTTCATGATGGTTGTAAGTTCGGTTCTTTTTGTTCAATAAATGATCTTTTAGTTATCTGCACTATGAGAGGCACCTTTTTTATTTTTACATGAGTTCATGTCAACCCTACGAGATCGGGACGGTCTGAGGAGTCTTTGATGATGTATGTGGTCTGACTTGAGTTATATGAGTCTGGATGGCAGTATTCAGAACAGGCGTTTGTTGACCCCCCCTATAGTTAAGGGGTCAAAGGATCTGGTAAGCCCCCAATTTGTCATCACGGTGGTGCAGGACTCACATTGGTGGTTATATTTGAATGAAGATTTTTGGCTATTCATCACAAAACACGGGGACTGTTCTATAGACCCTCTAGGGACTGTTACACATATGTCACCCCTATTCACACCACAACGTCTGGCATTGGTTCACCATTGAGCACTTTTTTCCCTGTTTATCATTGGTTATGTAATAATTGTACACTATTTCTGTATTATTTCTTTTTTTTTTTTATTTAGCGCAACACTAGAGATTTATTTGTATTTGTGATTTAGAGAGGATTTCCTCTTGGTGTGTTTACTGCTTTGTACATAATTCGGTTTGAGTATTTGTGTGGATTTTGATTTATTATATGACCATTAAAGTCAGTTAAAGTAACGCAGCGCCGTATTGCAAGAAATGGCCTGGTCAGGAAGGGGGGGAAATCCTCTGGAGGGCAAGTGGTTAAAGAGTCTCCTCTCTGGAGGGGGTGAGTTAGGCAGCAGGGCTGCATGTGCAGAAGGTTAGGAATGCTGAGTACACTGTGGGGGATTTACTAAAACTGGAACGTGCAAAATCTGGTGCACCTCTGCATAGAAACCAATCAGCTTCCAGGTTGTATATAACACAAAAAAAACAGCGCAAAAATTAAATAAATAAAAATAATCACAAATAAATAAATGTCCGTGCAAAAATATATATATAATATTTCAAACATAAGTCCTTATTTTCCCAAAAGGATTTTCAAAACAATGTTCCAAAATGTGCTTCCACCTAATCACCACGTGAAAAATAATATTGACCGCACTCACCAGATGGAGGTGAGTAATAAGCCTCATAGGATATAAGGGATCCTATAGCCCAGTGGTCGGCAAGCCGCGGCTCGCGAGCCACATGCGGCTCTTTACCCAGTCTAATGCGGCTCTTCTGTGTGCCGGGCGCCTGCTCCCCTCCCTCCTCTCGGTCGGTCGGGCCGCTCCCCTGCCTCCTCTCGGTTGGCAGCCCCAAAAGTCCGCGCGGACCTTTTAATCCGGCTTGCGGATGTGGCTGTCAGGATGTGTGTAGGCGGGGCAGCGTGCCGAACGTGAGGGGAGGGGAGCTAGGCTCCTCTCACAGTCCGCCCTGAAGACCCGAACGGCGCGGGAAGACAGCGAGAGGAACGCAAAAGGTAAGTGAATTGACACGGGGGACTTGGCTTACTAGAAGGGGGGGGGGGGGGGAATAGTACTGTGGGGGATGAAATACTATATGAGGGATGAATTACTTTATGAGGGATGAAATACTATATGGGGGGATGAAATACTATATAGGGGGATGAAATACTATATGAGGGATGAATTACTATATCAGGGATGAATTACTATATGAGGGATGAAATACTATATGGGGGGATGAAATACTATATGGGGGGATGAAATACTATATGGGGGGATGAATTACTATATGAGGGATGAAATACTATATGGGGGGATGAAATACTATATGAGGGATGAAATACTATATGGGGGATGAATTACTATATGAGGGATGAATTACTGTATGAGGGATGAAATACTATATGGGGGGATGAAATACTATATGAGGGGGATGAAATACTATATGGGGGGATGAAATACTATATGGGGGGATGAAATACTATATGAGGGATGAAATACTATATGAGGGATGAATTACTATATGGGGGGATGAAATACTATATGGGGGGATGAAATACTATATGGGGGGATGAAATACTATATGAGGGATGAATTACTATATGAGGGATGAAATACTATATGGGGGGATGAAATACTATATGGGGGGATGAAATACTATATGAGGGATGAATTACTATATGGGGGGATGAAATACTATATGAGGGATGAATTACTATATGAGGGATGAAATACTATATGAGGGATGAAATACTATATGGGGGGATGAAATACTATATGAGGGATGAAATACTATATGGGGGGGATGAAATACTATATGAGGGATGAAATACTATATGAGGGATGAATTACTATATGGGGGATGAAATACTATATGA